AGGCATAGTGATGACAATCTTGACAAGAAGAACGGGCGTTTTTGAAGAAGAAAGTTTTGTCTCACGAAAAAATGGATAAAATGTCTTCTTTGAGTCTGTAAGAAAAAAAAAGACATTGGATTACCCATCATCTCTCGTTAACTATTGCACTTGTATTTAGTTCATCAACAGAGCTTCGCGTCCTTTTTTTTAAACACTAATACCACAAGAAATCCTTTTTTTGTTGTTTGGATTGCAAATTAGGTAATGTCTCAACAATATATGATATTAGATTCATCGATCTTTGTAAGTGATGGGCAAGATTTAGACTTTACAAATGTCTCTCTTTTCTATTTCCTTTGAACATACGGCTCCATGTTCTCTTGGATTTTATAATAACTTCAACATTGGAGAGCAATGGCGCATCCTAACAGCTCCCTCCTCCCCACTCCTCCTCTTCCTTCTCCCCGCCCCCTCCTTTTCTCCCTTTTTCCGCACTTTCTCTTTCCGAATATGCATGTGCATTAACTTCTGTCAAATTAACAAAAATTCGCACATTCCTGGACAATTGAAAAGTGATCGTTTTATGATGTTGGAGTCAGTTGCTTCTCTTTCAAAAGTACTTTACAAAACTTTATGAGTCACCTCTCATAGCATAAATGAGAAAGACATTTTCAAAACTTTTTTAATAGTAAGCAAAATAGCCCGTGCAAAGTTGTTTGTAGGCGAATAATAACTAGCAATTCACTTAATATGTCAATGGATTTGCAGATATCTTAGCAAAGATAATGACCGCTCATTTCTTATTTTTTTCGACATACAAAACTTTGAAAAGCAGTGCAAACCTTCACACTTGTAACGTCCCCGGATACTGATTTGCCAGCTTTTTTCCAAGCATCTAGTCCACCATCGAGCACTGAGACCTTATCGTGACCATATAACTAAAAGAGATTTAATCTGCATTGTTAACAAACAAATTAATTGATTTACAAAAGAGACCCAAGAGATTGATAGAAGGAACCAAAAGAATAGATCTCAAAAATAATTCATTTAGGCTTAATTTGTGTAATTTTTAAGTGCGTTAAAGTACCTTGAAAAGCCACCACACACGAGATGCCCATAACATTCCAGCGTAAAGTCCCCTTGCATAAACGACTATATGGTCTCCAGCATTGATTCCCAACAATCGCACAAACTTCTCAAACTCTTCAGGTGAATAAAGATCGAAGCGAATGTACCTAGATGATAACAACAATTTTAAAAAATATCATAAACATAAAAAAAACCATATTACTGCCAAAATTGGTAGAAAGTGAACTCACTGACTAGGATAATGGGCAGCATCTAAACTGAAGTGCACTGCTCCTGGGATGTGCTCCTTCTCGTATGCTTGTCTATATATTGTCTGAAAAAGTTGACTGGTTTGATTACCGAATGGGATAACATTTACTAGGGCCAATGAGGACGTCTCTGATTTTTTTCCTAAGCCACACTGCCTTTACACATATTGTCCCAAGTTCCTTCTGCCAATCATAACCAGAACTTTTGTAAGAAAGCAACATCACGTCCCTCCTTGTTTCTCGTCAGGAAATTTTTTTTGTCACACACTATCATGGGC